AGCCACAGGGCCTTCATCCGGCCAAATCATCTGGCAGTTAGTAAAGGAGCAATGCGGGCAAACAGTCTCCATAGATGTCATGAAAGACCAGCCTTCTCACACAGGGCAGGCTAATAATCGCCCGGATTTTGACAAAGTTTCCTGGGCTAATAACAACATCGGGGAATATTCAGTCCTGAAACACTAGAGCTCTGAGATTAGAATGGAAAGAAGATGGGGCACCTGGGTGGCTCAGTCAGTTAGGTGTCCAACTCTTGAATTTGGCTCAGGTCACGGTCTCACCATTGATGAGTTTGAGCCCCATATCGGGCTCTGTGTTGACAACAGGGAGCCTGCTTGGGATTCTCTCTGCCTCCTCTCTCTGCCCCTAGCCCACTCATGTTCTCTTGCCCTCTCTCAAAATAAACAAATAAAAAAAAAAATTAGAATGGAATTAAGATGTCTATAAAAAATGAATGTGTGTTTTTTTTACTAATTTTAAATGTGTAAGTAATATATAAATGCAAAAAATACATATGATACCAAACATTTTAACATTTACAAATAAGATAAAATTACGTACTGACCAAGCTCTCCAAATCTAACACCTTCTTTGGAGGTAACCACCATCATCAGTATGAAGTGTATTTTAACAGTTCTTTTTCCGTTAAATCATATGCATATATTTACCATTGGAAAATTATTTTATGTTCTGTTTAAAGTACTTAATATGAATGTACATATTGTTCTAAAACTTGCTTTAGTCATGTAAGGATATCTTGCTAGCCTTTCCACACCAGTAAAATACATTTACTGAGTGTTTATGTAGCAGTCCCTCTTCCAAGCACTGGCATATCTATTAATGCATTTAGTTCTCATAACAACGCAATTATTATTGTTATGTTATTATCATGCCCATTTTGCACTTTGGGATTCTGAGGGACAGAGAGGTTAGGGAAATTGCCCAATTCGGTGCCAGAGAGCCACGGTTCTGGATTCTGTTCAAAGAAGACTAACTCCAGATCACTCTCATGGTAACTGTTTCACAGCACCTGAGACACATAAGCCTACCTCTGAATGCAGTGTGGATCAACCCCAAGCCCCATGGGCCCATCTTTTACGATCTTGGAGTGACTGTGAGTGATATGCATATACTGTTCAAGTTTTAAAATGCCACCAAGTGTTTCATGATGTTCAGCATTGTAGCTGATAATAGCGTTATGTGTGATAGTCAAAGGTAGCTCTTTTTTTGAGGAGAAGAATGCATGTAAGAATGCAGAGCAGACCCCATCATCAGGCTGCTCCGTTCCCCTCCTTCCCTTGCCATCTATATCTGATCCGTGGGCAGCATTCCATTTACGTCAAAAATAACGTCAATCTAGTGAAAAAACTGAATGACTCATGGCATTACTGTAGGGAACCAATCACTGTGTAATATGATATATAACATCCTAATTTCACAGAACATTTTTCATAACAGCTGCTAAAATCATAATCAAATCCATTAAATCCTTTTAAAGGATCCAATTCGAAGCAATATTGAAACTAGTCTTAAAATGCAGGTATATTGAGGTGGAGTCCTACCCACGCTTTATGGTTAACCTCTTCAAATCTTGTCTGTATTTGTCTATATTTATTAATCCATTTGAGTTTGCTCTTTTTTTGTATTTCTAGCTGCATTTGAGTCAGAGATAGGCTTTTTTTTTTTAAGAGACTAGAGGATCTGAAAAAAGAATAGAGAGAAAAAGAGAGATGAAAAGGAAATTTTCCTCTGATTCTTATGGACAGTAGAACTCGATAGATTAGAGAGAAGAGGTAGAGGAAGGACCCAGGGTCTTGGGATTATAAAAGCAGTGTTACGTTATTGATTAAGGTCTCTGCAGAGAGTGAAAAACCGCGAGAGAATGCAGCCACCTAAGCCCTTGCATTCAGGAGCGTGTAACTTAGAAAACGTTGAACCAGTTGGATTTCTTTGGCCACGGCGCCATCCGCAAAACTGACAGCTAATTTTTTGATGTAAGAATTTTATTCCTTGGATATATACAAAGCCAAATAAAATCCCTCAGGTTTTTTTTCTTCCTTCAATATTATATACTTATGGAAATTTTCAGAGTTAGCCCCTGATTTGTATTTTTGTTTGGAACATAAAGCAAGACGAAACAATTCGATGAAGGCAAAAGATTACTTGTGAAGTTTACTTTCAGACTGGAAAGTGACCTTCCAGAAGGAGGAGAGGCTTCTGAGGGCTGAGCTCTATCCAGTCTCTTCCACAGATTAATTGTGTGATGCAGTTAGTAAACAAGTTAGTAACCTTTGAACCTGGATTTCTGATCTGGGAAAGAACACTGGGCTAGAATCCCTAAGTTTCTTCTGAGTTGTAATAGTCTGGTTCTTATATGACATGGTAGCCAAAGCTAGCTTCTAGTTACCCAGCCACATAAGTCCTGTACACATTTGCCTTCTGTTCCACATACCTCTTCTAATACTCTTAAGGGGGATGTTAGTGATGTCTTTAGTAGTTGCTTCCTCTCGACCACTTTCTCTCCAGCTTTCTGCTGGCATAAAAGCTGTTGAAGTGAAAGTTCTCCATTCCATCCCATTTTTTCTGATTCTTTACTTCAAAAAAATGTGTGCTTAGAATGAAATATAAATTGCTGATTTGTAATTCATGAATCACTGTTATAAAGTGACCCCAAGACCTTTGTTTTCAGGTCCTCAAAAATTAATTGGATGCAGGTGTTTGTTGGCCACTTGGATGATGGACATAAGGCACGGTTTTTCCAGCTAACTTCATCTTTAACAGATGTAATTCCAATAGTTTGCACCTAGTCAGTGCTAGCTGACATTAAAGCAGATATTCCAGATTGCTATCTGGGAGTTGTCTGATACCAGTACCAGGCAAATTGCTGAATAGTAAAGGAGCCAGAAGCCCCAGAATAAATTCTCTACACTCTAAACCCTGCTAAGTAGCTTTCATGTTCCCTTACTTTCTTTGTTCAGTACCTACCGATGGGCAGCTACTGCAGTCCTAGATGGTGGGTTCTATGTTGGGTGCTCCCGGGCCAGGATTCTATTGCAGAGGGAGCCATTTTACAGCCATTTTACATTTAGAATGAACTTCCTCCTTGGGTCTTCCTGTCACCAAGTAACTAAAGCTGTTATTAAACCAACCAAATAAATCATCTGAGAAATAATTTTTTTCCTTAGCTTTCAACATGTCCTCCTTTTTATGCTTTCTTAACACATATGTGGAAGATTAATAATAATATTTCATATGTAGCCAATTGGAGAAATGAATTTCCTAGATTAGTCATGTTTTATGTGATTTTACAACCCCAAAACACTGAACATTAAATAAAATATTTTTCTCGTAGCTTGTTCAACCCTAGCTGAATTTGGAGGGCACAGGGTAGTAGCCTGGGGGTCAAAAAACTAGAAAAATCTTGGCTGCTCATCCATCAACTAGCCACGCAGAAGAGGGCAAGTTACTCAGGGTCTCTCAACTACAGGAGAGGACAAAATAAACATCCTCGGCTGCTCTTTTGTGTAGGGCTGTTGTGAAGAACACATGAGCTGGTGTGTGTGACTGTGCTTTGTTGTCATAGAAGGTACAGTCCAAATATGAGATAGATAAACTGTGAAACATGCTTATACGCCAATATATCTAATTATATTGTTGCTTTCATCTGGGTGGTGTTTCCATGTTTTATATGTAAACAAGAGCTTGTAAGGTTGATTATCTCCCAATTATCACAACTAATGAACTCTTAATCAGCAGCTGCAAGTTTAGATTCTATTGAAAGGAAGAAATTAAAGTGATCAAGGAGATTATTTTTTCTTCATTGACATGTAAACAATAGACTACTAATTAGAAAATATTTAGCTGTCCTTTATATATACCTGAATGATCTGACTTTTCTGAATATTCACTTTTCTTTCAAATACAGGAAATGAAAAGTCAGAACCTTCTGTAAATATTGTCATTCAAAGGATGTATCTCCTAGGAAAAATAGGTTTAATATTATTTGTTAGAACCATATGCCAGATGCTAAATTCCACATGTAAGAGAGGTATATCCTGAGATGCTTCCTTGTTTTGGTCTTATAATATATTTAGAGTACACCTTCATGCTAGTACTATGAAAAGGAATTGCCTCAGGTAATGCTACTGTAAGAAACTGTGTTATTCCATTAATTCCAGTACATATTAATTTTCTACAACTCAGTTATTTGCTTTATTTTTAATAGTTTAAATCCAGAAGCACTTAATTATTAATTCTGTGAACATTTATGACTTCATTAATGACTGCCACTCTAAAAAGATAAAAAAGGATGGATGAGCATGCTACATTATTTCTAAGGAGCAATAACATTCCAGATAAATTCAACCAGAGAAGAGTTTTTCCTCAGCCAGTGCCTACATAGATTGATGGATGGGTGACATTTCCTCCTCCCCTTTATAATGGTGGCTTTGAGGGGCACCTGGGTGGCTCAGTTGGTTGAGCGTCCTACTTTGGCTAAAGTCATGATCTCACGGTTTGTGAGTTCGGGCCCCGCGTTGGGCTCTGTGATAGCAGCCTGTTTCGGATTCTGTCTCGCTCCCTCACTGCCCCTCCCCTGCTCATGCTCTGTCCTCTCTCTCTTTCAAAAATAAATAAACATTAAAATTTTTTTTAAAAATTTAAAAAGATGGTAACTTTGAGTCCTGACTTGGACTGCAGGCAGCAAGATTAGAGGTGGTGAGTTGGCCCACAGAGGATCATGCTGGCTCTTTGGATGTTAGATCTTTTGGTTGCCTTGGTCATCTTTGGTGTTTGTTTCTTCCATTATGCTTTGTACATTTCTCCAAAACCTCACTGATTTATTTCTTACCTGCAGGGTATCAGGCCGGCATGGTTGTCACCTATATTTTGCCTAGTATTACTGATTACCTTGAGAATTTGTTATCAGCATCTGTGGTCTCTTTGTCAATCCTGTCCAAAGGTTCCCCTCACTGGTTATTTTGCAATATTCTTCTCTTAGACTTGAATGAGGCAGTCCCCGAAACAGAGCGCCTGGATTCAAAAGCACTGAAAACCCGAGCCCAGCTCTCTGTGAAGAACAGACGCCAGAGGCCCTCTAGGACACGACTCTATGATAGTGTCAGTTCAACAGATGGGGAAGACAGTCTGGAACGAAAGGTGAGCACCTTTGACCAATTTCTGACTTTGCAGTGCTGAGCTGTATCCTTGTTCCTACAGCTTATTGAAGGTAATGATTTTTCTGCAACCAGCTTCTATGCCCTAGATGGAAACAGCTGGAATAGTTCACTGCTTTGTCTCCTAAATTCTTACTCAACTCGTTATATTGTTGTAATTCAAATTCTGTCTGTGCTCATTCAATGAACTACCCCAAGGGCATTACCCATTTTGTCATATTCGTGATGGTGCTTTTATATTCAGCTGTTGGTTTCACCTAGTGGGAAATAATGTACAAGTAACTGTTTCTGTATGTCTTAGGATCTGTGTTAGCCACAATGGTAATGTGATGAATTGTTGTAAACTATGCAGTCTCATCTGTAAACCAACCAACAAACATTGGTTTTCAAGGGATTTACTAAAAAAGTTTGGTCTGATTTCAAAGTAAGTATTACATGGAGCTGATGTTCAGCGGCATAACCTCCTTTATAATCTCTTATACCAACAGCCTTCAAACAGTTTCTATAACCACACGCACATTACCAAATCACTTCTGCCCAAGGGTTTGAGAACTTCTCCAGAATCAGATTCTGGTGCTCCATCCCTCACTCCAGTGGCAGGCAGTGTGCCCTTCTCGTCTGACCACATAACTGAATTTCAAGGAGGACCGCTGCACCCAGAACAGGAGCCTTCCTCCTCTACGTGGGGAGACACTTCACTCTCCTCTCCTTCAAAATCTGATCATGATATGGAAGAATCTCCTTGCCACCATCAGGCCACAGTCAAGCAAATATCACAAGAGAAAGGTACCGTTGATTTTTTTGTTGTTTTTGCTTTTGTCTGACTTAACTAACACCTTGATTTGTGCAGTATAAGGATGGCTTTTTTTCTCATAGTCATAAGCCCTTTGTCTTCTTACAGCTAATAATTAATATTGCTGTTGTGGGATAAGAGCCCGTGGCTCTCCTATTTGTTTATTTATTTACTTACTTATTTATTTAATTTTTTTTTCCTGCCTGGTTAGTGTTTTTACTTCTACAGCTCTCCATAAGTTTATTATTGAAGGAAATTCTTCAGGAAGCCTACTAGAGATTTTGTAGAATAGCAGCCTGGAGTTTCAATAAACATTAACATACACTGGAAAAAAATATATGTGTATGTAATATATATGTAAAAATATATCTGTGTAGAACATATATAAAAATATATATACATACACATATACATATGTACATAGATATATGAAGCTGAAAGCAGTTATAGGTTTTAAGCCATTAATTGGTTTTTATTTAGAAGAAATCTCCACAGTAGTGATTTATATTGCAAAAATTATGACAGGAAAGCTATAATGGAGGGCGATTAATCAATTAAATTTTAAAATAGGCTCCTAGAATTAACACCAAAATTTCAGTCATGCCAATAGACGTTTGTTGTTTTAATTTATAGAGGTAGAAGTAACGAATTCTCGTTAAACAAGTTACATGATGCAGAGATGTATAAAGAATAGGTTCATTCTTTCCCTACTGTGTCTGATGTGCCCCTTTACAGTAACCAAGTAAATTTGGTCATATTATCTTTCACATCAGAAATACACATAAGTATATATTATGTATATATATGCATGTGTGTGTGTGCGCGCGTGTGTGTGTGTATGTATGTAGATATAAAAACAAAAGCACTTTTTGGTATGTTTGCATTTTGTTTTGTATGCTTTTGTTCACAAAAATGAATCATACAAGTCACATGACTGCAGTTTTATTTTACATATAATAGTATTTTCAGAACATCAGCCTAGTGCAACATACACAAATTTCAATGACAAGAGAATTTTCTGTAGTGAGCCTATAATATAACCTAGGCAACCATTTTAATATTGATGGACATTTAGGCTGTATTCTGGAAGATTTCTTTTTGTATATTTACTTGTTTGCTTACCACTGTAAAAAAAGTTATAACAAGCACCCGTATATTCTTGTATACTGATACTTTTATTTCTGTAGAGTACATTTTCGAAAGTTGAATTGGTAGTCAGGGTATATTGTATTCAGAGAAAAATGTATAGCTTTAAACTCCTTTATTATTAAAAATAAACACTGAAAATAAATAAAATAAATATTCAAAATAATAGGAACAGAGCAACCAAAAAACAGAAAAAGAGACGGTAAAAGATATAAGCAGAATTTAATTTTTATTGAAATGAAAAGCCTATTCTTAACCCCCCCTCTCCCCACAAAAATATAGTACAAGTGTAAATTATTCCAGCTAAAGGTGAATAGTCCTTTGGAATGACACATTAAGAAAAATATAGACAAACAAACAAAATAGCATTGGAAAAAAGAAAGGAGATACAAAGATTTTAAAAATTATTTTTTAAAGGTAGTGTGCAAACTCAGTACATTTAAAAATCTAGAGAGGGGCACCTGGGTGGCTCAGTTGGTTCAGTGCCTGACTTCAGCTGAGGTCATGATCTCAAGGTTTGCAGGTTCTAGCCCTACGTAGGGCTCTGTGCTGACAGCTCAGAGCCTGGAGCTGTTTTGGATTCTGTGTCTCCCTCTCTCTCTGCCCCTTCCCCGCTCATGCTCTGTCTGTCTCTCTCTCAAAAATAAATAAACGTTAAAAAAAATTTTTTTAAAGAAAATCTAGAGGAAATGGAGTTTCCTACAAAATTGGTCTACTCCACTTGGTCTAAGAAGAAAACTTGGATAAACTAATAGTCACAGAAATATGAAATATGTTTTCACAAAAGTTTCCATTTAGAAAGTACCAGACCCAGGTGGTTTTATAACTGAATTCTACTTAAGCTATAAAAAAAAAAAAAATACGTAGGCTCTATTTTATGCTATGTTATTCCAGGTAGGGTGTTTTTCATTTATTTAAATAGCTGGAGTCCTAAAAACCAGTAAAGACTGTGTGGAAAAAGGAAATCTTATGCACGTTGATTCCTTTTAAATATGATGCTAATCAATTGAATATAGGAGTGCAAGTTAATTATATTTCCACAATCAGGTAGCATTGATTCTGAAAATGTAAGAATATTTAAACATTAGAAGATCTAACTGTAAATCATCATACAACAAAGGAAAGGTAAAGTGTTATAACATTAATAGAAGTTGAGAAGAATTTGATGTAATTCGTCAGACATTTTCAGTAAAAACTTGTTACAGTAAAAATGGAATTAGAAAAACATTTCTGAATATGATTGGTTACTTACCAGTGATCAGTCACTATAGAGTGAATCTTAAATCATTTGCACAAAAGTTAGGAATAAGACATGAGTGCCAACCATCATCACGATTTTCAAGTCTGTTTTTGAGAATTTTCTAGTTGCAGGAAGAACAGAACATCAAATAATCAGTATAAAATTGCAACAGAGAAAACAAAAGTATCTTTATTTAAAGATTATATGAATATGCATCTAGAAGATTAAGTGGCCAGATATAAAATAAATATACAAAATCAGTACCTTGATGTGTGTAAGGTTGAAGTGTCTTCAACTTACCTTGAAATGCATTTGAAAATTAATGGATTAATGGATGACTAGAGGCTATCTGATAAAGCAATGTGTAGTAAATGGAAATTGGAGGATATATGGTGGATATACATTTATCCACTCTAAAAAATTTTTATCTTTTGAAAAAAAATTGAGTGGCAGAAAGATAGGTCATTTTTGTCTATACTGATATAAAGATTTAGAACAGTAGACATTTTGTGGAACGTGATAAGCTGATCCTAAATTTATAAGAAAGGAAAAAAGGCCAGAATACCTGAGACTCTTGAAGAAGAATGAAGTGGAAGATCCTGGCTTACCTGATACCTGGAATTATTAAAAAGCCACAGAATTCATTATGCATATTATTTGTACAGAGGTTTACAAACAGATTCAAGAATAGAATAAAGAGCATAGAAGAAGATTACACACAGATACACATTTCAGATATATATGAAGTTATTTTATGAAAACTGCATAAAAAAGGGTGGATCAGTGGAGAAAGAATAGAGTTTTTAATGAGTTTTTCTGGGACACTTGGTTATCCATATTTTTAAAAATTATATTAGACCCCCTCATCTCATACCTTGCAAAAAAATTCATTCAAGGTGGATTTAAGACTTAACTGGAAAATAAGTGGAAAATGGCAAACTTTAAAACTATTAAAGAGATTTTTAAAATGTTGATTTATTTTTGAGAGAGAGAAAGCAGGGAGAGGCAGAGACAGAGGGAGACAAAGAATCCCAACAGGATCTGCACTGTCAGTGCAGCACCCAGCATGGAGTTCGAACCCACGAACCATGAGATCGTGACCTGAGCCAAGATCAAGACGTCAGACACGTGGCAACTGAGCCATGCAGGTGCCCCCAAACCATAAAACTTTTAAAAAGTCTGTATGGAATATTTTTGTGACTTAAGGGTAGGGAAAGATTTCTTAATATACAAAGGGGAGGGGAAACATATATAAAAGATTAATAACATCAGATGATAGTAAAATTAGGAACTTCTATTTCTCAAAGATATAACAAAGAATCCCACAAAATTGGAGAAGATATTTGCTGCCTGTGTAACTAATGTAGAAGTAGTATCTAGATTATATAAATAACTTGTATAAATCACTAAGAAAGAAATAACACAAGAGAAAATATATAATGTCCTGAACAGGCATTTCTTAGAAAATGAAAACCAAAAGGCCAAGATATGTATGAAAGTTGTTCAATGGTATTAGTAATCAGGAAAGTATGAAATAAACCAGATGAGATACCATTTTATACCTACCAGATTGCCATAAATATTAAAAGTCTGATGTTACCAAATACTGGAAAATGTGTGAAACAACCAGAGACTAAATAGTGCTGGTGGAATGTAAACTGAGGCAAACTCTTTGGAAACCATTTGGCATTTACCTACTGAAGTTGAAAATGTGCATGCCCTATGACCCAGCCAGGGTTTATATAGCCTACACTTGCCTACTAAGAATCATGTACAAGAGTATTCAGAGCAGCCCTACTGTGTGATAACAAAACCTGAGAAAACCTGAAAACTGGTAAGTACTGGAATAATCACTAGTAAGAAAAGTTAAATGAACTATAGTATATTCATATGATGAATCTGTGCAGCAAGGAAAATTTGAATAAACCACACCGAAACATAATACCAGTGCTGAATCTCTGGAACAAGACATTGAGAGGATAAACCAAATACCATAGGTATTATATTGCAAGGTCTTATATTGCAAGGGACCTAATACCATAGGTATTACAGAATACCTATGATTTTATTTCTATAATGCTAAAAAAAATTAGTGGATTACTTAGAGATATTAACAAAATGTGGAGGTTATAAGTGAGAATGACAAAGTCAGTTACTTGGTGGGGAGTGTCCAGGAACTGAAGGACATAATTCATAAGTATAAACTAGGTGGCGGGGGGGAATAAATGAAATGGGTGTTTTTTAATTGGTTTTTCTTTATACTCCTCAACTATCTTATAAATATTCTTGGTTACAGTAGTCAATATGCATAATAAAAGATCCCATATAGAAAGTTAATTGATAGACGTTAATACACAGTTACCTTCAAAGAGTTCTTGAAAGGTCAAAAATAGGCAAAAGAAATAGTTTCTTGGAGAGAAAATTCACATGACTTATAGAAAAAGATGATCAGAGAAATGATCATTTAAATTAAATACCCATCGGATTGCCAAAACTTTTAAAGAATTCCACCAACCAATGTCAGCTGTGGTGTGGGATACATTGCAGGTGTCATTGTACATCACCACGTTTTTGAAAAGTGCATACTCATCTGTCTCTCCCAAATCA